TAGGTAAAAATAGGTGTTGTAAACATGTTAAATTAATATTTCAGTCAAAGTGTACTGTAGAAAAGTGACAATTGTCATGATCGTTATTTTTAAACTTTTTTGAGTTTTTTTTTGAAGTAAATAAGTAAAAATATGTTTTGTTAACATGTTAAATTAATATTTCAGTGAAAGTATACTGTAGAAAAGTGACAATTGTTATAATCGTTATTTTTAAACTTTTTTGAGTTTTTTTAAAGTAAATAGGTAAAAAAATGTTTTGTAAACTTAAAATTTCAGTTTAGATATGTTTTATATTTTAAAGTCACTAACAGTAATATCAACAATAAAATTCCTAAATTCGCTTTTATTTATATATTTAAAATTAATGATGAGTTATTTTCCTGCAAATCGTCAATGTGATTTAATTAAATTCGAGATTTTATTATGAATAAATTAATCACTTCAAATGATAAAAAATTCCACTATTATGATTAAACTTTAATCTTCATAGCATCCTGAATTGTTTTTTAACATAATTTATAATAGTAGGCCGATATAAGATTAAAATAATTGTAAGATTAATTTATTTTTTTCTAAAATGTTAACTACGAAATATATTTAAATATAGAATCCTGCATCAGTTATTTGTAAATCAACTCACTATTATATCTTTGACTCATTTATTTCAATTCTGTGAGTATATACATTTTAAATATTTATTCACTTTAGTGAACGATCTGAAATTACAAGTTAGAGCTAATATTGAAATTTAAATCTATCAAAGTATTAAATAGCTTTTCGAAAATAAATATATTTACGAAATAAATTTTAGCATTTTCAAAGTTAGCCCTGGTATTTATATTTATTTTAAATAATTACTAAGATTATACATCAAACATTATAAGTTTATCTATGTTTTTTGCGAGAAATGAAGGCTTTTGGATAATTTTTTTTTACTATATTTTATTGAATAATGCTAGGCTCTCTCTTTGAAGGCCTTTGGTCAATTTATGTTTTAAATTTTCTTCGGGTTTATAATCTTTTTTTTTAATATTTCTCACAAATTTTATAAGGTCATTATTTTTATTCATTTTTTTATATTTTTGTGACATCATATACGCACTTTTAGTTATTTGATAGGGGCAAATTCTTTATTATTTTAAATAAAATTTACCAAATCAGACACATTTGGTAAAATGGGTGGGAATTTTTTCTTCTCCCCCACCCCTATCATATTTATATACTTCTTAATATTATTAAAAAATATTTTTACGCTATATTATTAACGGAAATCTCGTAGCAAGCCTGATCTTGTAAGATTTTGTATCTTCACAATAAAAAGACAATTGTCACTTTTCTATACTACACTTTCCCTGAAATATTAATTTAACATGTTTACTAAACATATTTTTACCTATATACTTTAAAATAACTCGAAAAAGTTTAAAAATAACAATTATGACAATTGTCACTTTTCTACAGTACACTTTCACTGAAATATTAATTTAACATGTTTACAAAACATATTTTTACCCATTTACTTTAAAAAAACTCAAAAAAGTTCAAAAATAACGATTATGACAATTGTCACTTTTCTATAGTACACTTTCACTGAAATATTAATTTAACATGTTCACAAAACATATTTTTACCCATTTATTTAAAAAACTCAAAAAAGTTTAAAAATAACGATTATGACAATTGTCACTTTTCTACAGTACACTTTCACTGAAATATTAATTTAACATGTTTACAAAACATATTTTTACCCATTTACTAAAAAAAACTCAAAAAAGTTCAAAAATTACGATTATGACAATTGTCACTTTTTTATGTACACTTTCACTGAAATATTAAATTAACATGTTTACAAAACATATTTTTACCTATATACTTTAAAAAAACTCAAAAAAGTTCAAAAATAACGATTATGACAATTGTCACTTTTTTATACTACACCATCACTGAAATATTAATTTAACATGTTTACAAAACATATTTTTACCTATATACTTTAAAAAAATCAATATAGTTCAAAAATAACGATTATGACAATTGTCACTTTTCTATAGAAGTCTTACACTGAAATATTAATTTAACATGTGTACAAAACATATTTTTACCTATTTACTTTAAAAAAACTCAAAAAAGTTCAAAAATAACGATTATGACAATTGTCACTTTTCTATACTGCACTTTCACTGAAATATTAATTTAACATGTTTACAAAACATATTTTTACCTATATACTTTAAAAAAACTCAAAAAAGTTCAAAAATATTATGACAATTGTCACTTTTCTATAGAAATCTTTCACTGAAATATTAAATTTACATGTGTACAAAACATATTTTTACCTATTTACTTTAACTCAAAAAAGTTCAAAAATAACGATTATGACAATTGTCACTTTTCAATACTACACTTTCACTGAAATATTAATTTAACATGTTTACAAAACATATTTTTACCTATTTACTTTAAAAAAACTCAAAAAACAAAAATAACGATTATGACAATTGTCACTTTTCTATACACTTTCACTGAAATATTAATATAACATATTTACAAAACATATTTTTATATCTATTTGCTTTAAAAAAACTCAAAAAAGTTCAAAAATAACGATTATGACATTTGTCACTATTACCTAAAAAATTATCTATCAAAGATATATAATAGATAAAATTACGTAAAATATAAATATATAAAAATATTTTAAAAATATATTAAAAAAATTTATTAAAAAAATATATTAAAAAATATAAATCAAAAAAATTTATTAAAAAATCATATAACACAAATTAAAAAAAAATTAACGATCAAAAGATATAATCAAATATAAATTTTAAAAAAATATATAATTAAAAAAAAATATCAATCAAAAAAATTATTTAAAAATTTATTAAAAAAAATCATATAAACACAAAAAATATAAAATATAAAAATAAATATATTTGAAAAAATCATATAACACAAAAAATATAAAAAAAAATACAAAAAAAAAATACAAAAAAAAACAATCAAAAAAATATATTTAAAAAAATTTATTAAATAAATCATATAACACAAAAATAAAAAAAATTAGTGATTAAAAAATATATTGTAACAAATTAAAATATATTTTAAAAAAAATATAAAATAAATTTATAATAATAAATTAATATTAAATAATAATAAATTAATCTCAAATAAATAATAAATTTATTAATTTGTAAAATAAAAATACATTGCCTTAACCCGGCACACAATAACAAAATTACCTTGCCTACCACTACCTCACATTGCCGCTAACATATATATTGGGGGGTTTGACTAAACTGAAAATGCTTAGGTAAAAATTTTTATATTATCTATTATTTGTAGTGAGATTCATTTTCCTATGATATAAATAACTTATAAAAAATTAAATTATTAGATGTATTCAAAAATATAATTAAATTTTAAATTTCAATAATATTAAATCCGCAGGATGTCGTATTATTATTTTATAAAAAAAATTTAAAATTATTTTTTGTTTTATTATATTCTAAAATCATATTGTAATATTACTTAAAAAGTAAGCTAAATTCCATATATTATCTATCAAAAATTGATTCGAAAAATTGCAAGAACAAATATAGGTTTTTATAAATTAATATGATCACATTTTAATGGTTAAAGTAAGATAAATTAATTTTTTAAAATAATTTTTGCATACTTGCTATTAATATTTTTCCTAAATAGCCAATTTGTTTTTATTGCCATTATTACAATATGGTTCCACGTCATTACAGAGAAAACAATTACAGAGAAACTTTTACAGAGAAAACAATTACAGAGAAACTTTTACAGAGAAAACAATTAAAGAGAATGTCGTTTAAAGAGAATGTCGTTTAAAGAGAAAACAATTAAAGAGAATGTCGTTTAAAGAGAATTTTTTTATAGAGAATTATTTTATAGAGAATATATTTTACAGAGAAACTTTTACAGAGAAAACAATTAAAGAGAATGTCGTTTAAAGAGAATTTTTTTATAGAGAATTATTTTATAGAGAATGTTTTTACAGAGAATGATTTTATAGAGAATGATTTTATAGAGAATGTTTTTACAGAGAATGATTTTATAGAGAATGATTTTATAGAGAATTTTTTATAAAATTTTATTTAAAGAATATGATTATATTATAAAAAATGTTAATCTATATAATATATAACATTTTTGTATAAATTTGTGTAATTATTACTTAGGGTGTGCATATTGTTTTTCTGGCCAGTCAAAACATAGTATGTATTGACTGGCATGTGTTAACTTTTATTATAAATATTAAATATTTCGATATGTATGAAATACTTACAAAAGACCAATCTTACATCTCAATTTACCATCATTTATTTAATACATTAATATCTTAATTATCTTTTTGCTAAACTTTCTTAAATTTGTTCATCATTTGAAATAAAGTGAGTTTTTTAGAAAGAGATACTAATTTTGAAAGAAATCGGTCCAATAGATAAAATTTAATTTTTTTATATCATTATATTTGGTAGCATTAAAATAGAGTAAAATTGACACAATGCAAAACTCTATTTTTGAATTTCAGAAAGTTTTATAATCTTATATCATGTTTAAATAAAATTTTCGAAGGTTACAAATTTTAAATTATAGATGTGACACACGGATAATCTATTCTTTAGTTAAAAGATATTTGTCAAGAAGCGACAAACCTTAATCGTACACCTCTATGTGGTTATCAAAATATTTTTATGGCAGTAAAAGTGTTTATCAATTGAAAACAATCTATGTTATGTTATTCTATATAAACGACATTCTCTATCATTGTTTTCTCTATAAAAGTTTCTCCATAATTGTTTTCTCTATAAAAGTTTCTCTATAATTGTTTATTTTGTAAATGTTTGTCACTAAAGACCATTTTAGAATATTTTAAGTAATAATTTAATTATTTTTTTAAGTAATAATTTAATTATTAAGTAATAATTTAATTATTTTCTTTTTAAATTTTGATAAATTTTTTTTAAATTATGGCTGAATTTATTTTAAGTAGTCGAAACAATCATCAGTTACTACTTCTTGATTTTTACTTATTTCAAAAGGAAAAAACATCTAACCAAATAACCTATTGGAGATGTATTCAATTCAATGTGGACGAATGCAGTGGACGTGCAAGAACTAAGAACGGAATCCCTATATTCCACAATCATAAACAACCAGACATTGCAGATATTGAAGCAAGAAGAGAGCTAAATAGAATTAAACAAGTGGCTTCTAGTTCCCAATCTCTGCCCAATAATATAATAGCCGATATATCTAGCAATATATCCATAGCCGCCACTGGGAAAATGTCCAGTTGTTCCTTAATTAAAAGGACAATTCAAAGGAAAAGACGCCAAGTAGGAAGAGCGCCTGCCGTTCCTGTAAGCCTGATTGACTTGGTCATACCAATCGAATATCAATTATCCAATAATAATGAACAATTTTTACTTTATGATAGTGGTCATCATGATCACCGATGCATAATATTTTCTACCATTAAAAATTTACAATTTTTATCAACATGCGATAAATGGTATGCAGATGGCACATTCAAAACATGCCCCCCTCTCTTCCAGCAAATATACACCATCCACGGGATGAAACATAAAACCATTATTCCCGCTATTTATGTTCTGATGGCATCACGTCGCCAACAAGATTACCTTAATATTTTCAATCAAATTAAAAATTTCCAAATTTTTTTAAATCCAAAAGTTATTATAATTGATTTTGAATTAGCAGCCTTATCTGCTTTTAAACAGTCATTTCCAATGACTGCAATGCGCGGGTGTCTGTTCCATATGTCGCAATGCATATGGCGCACGGTCCAGAAAAATCCCCGCATTTGCAATGCATACAAAAGCGAAACTAATTTTGCTATGTATATAAAGATGCTAATGTCACTGGCATATGTCCCAGTTGAGGACGTAATTCACGGATTTGAGGAATTATGTGCCTCCATATTCTATCAAGAAAATAGGGCTATTCTCGCCCCCTTGATAGAATATTTTGAAGAGACATGGATTGGGAAAATGATAGCGATGGAGAGTAGGTCTCCAATATTTGGTATTTCCCTATGGAATTGTTATGAATCGACACTAGCTAGTGAACCGAATACAAATAATTCTGTAGAGGGCTGGCATCGGAGTTTTTCTTCTCATATAAGTTCCCATCATCCAACGATCTGGAAATTTATAAAGAGTTAGTAATTATATTGTATTTTAAATTTTAAAAATTTTTTCATTTATAGCTCTCAAAGACGAAGATAGCCTTAATAGTTACAAATTGGAACAATATTCTTTAGGACTATTAGCTCCAGTGTCAAAGAAAGAATATCGAGAAAGATCCAAAAGGATTCTTCTAATTGTTGAAGATTTCCATTCAAGAACCATGATGGATTATTTAAGGGCTTTATCCCACAATTTAAATTTAAATGTTTAATTTAATAATATAATTGTATTTTTTTATATTAGTATATTATTTATACTATGTTTATTTGGATTTATTATGAATAAAAATTTATTTGATATTTCGAAATGAACATTGCTAACCTCTTATTTGGTATTTTATCTAGGTTTATCTTATAATAACTTCATATACAAATGGTATTCTATTCTCTAATTTGGCATTCACAAAATATAAGAAAGCGCTCTATATAACATTTATTTCTTATTTATCATCATTTTAAGATTATCTAAGGTTTATGATATTAAATCACGGATAAATTACACCAAAAGCTCAATAATTATTTTTGAGAGCGTTATAAATTTTTTATAAAATAATCATATTCTTTATAAAAAATTCTCTATAATAGTTTTCTCTATAAAATAATTCTCTTTAAACATAAAAAATTCTCTATAATAGTTTTCTCTATAATAGTTTTCTCTATAAAATAATTCTCTTTAAACGACATTCTCTTTAATTGTTTTCTCTGTAAAATACATTCTCTATAAAATAATTCTCTATAAAAAAATTCTCTTTAAACGACATTCTCTTTAATTGTTTTCTCTGTAAAAGTTTCTCTGTAAAATACATTCTCTATAAAATAATTCTCTTTAAACGACATTCTCTTTAATTGTTTTCTCTGTAAAAGTTTCTCTGTAAAATACATTCTCTATTAAATAATTCTCTATAAAAAAATTCTCTTTAAACGACATTCTCTTTAATTGTTTTTTCTGTAAAAGTTTCTCTGTAAAATACATTCTCTATAAAATAATTCTCTATAAAATAATTCTCTATAAAATAATTCTCTATAAAATAATTCTCTATAAAATAATTCTCTACAAAATAATTCTCTTTAAACGACATTCTCTTTAATTGTTTTCTCTGTAAAAGTTTCTCTGTAAAATACATTCTCTATAAAATAATTCTCTATAAAAAAATTCTCTTTAAACGACATTCTCTTTAATTGTTTTCTCTGTAAAAGTTTCTCTGTAAAATACATTCTCTATAAAATAATTCTCTATAAAATAATTCTCTTTAAACGACATTCTCTTTAATTGTTTTCTCTGTAAAAGTTTCTCTGTAAAATACATTCTCTATTAAATAATTCTCTATAAAAAAATTCTCTTTAGACGACATTCTCTTTAAATGTTTTCTCTGTAAAAGTTTCTCTGTAAAATACATTCTCTATTAAATAATTCTCTATAAAAAAATTCTCTTTAAACGACATTCTCTTTAATTGTTTTCTCTGTAAAAGTTTCTCTGTAAATGTTTTCTCTGTAATGGTTTCTCTGTAATGACGCGATACCTTACAATATTACCATACACAATAATATCATTCTAATAAATAAGATATCACAGAAAAATTTTATCGAAAATATAATGTTTGTAAAAATTTTGTTTTGTTAAATTAATCGTTAAAGTAATATAATTTTATTGTTTAACTGACCATGAAAAGGGTATTTGGATTTTGTAGTGTACTTTTGGTTGAGTGGCCCTAAAAAGGGCCTTTGGGTGTTATGGCCCTAAAAAGGGCCTTTGGATAAATAATTCTGAAATAAATTAGTGCCTACTGGTTAATTTTTATGTAGGAACTATAATAACTAGGCTCTAGTTCTATCTGATCTAGATCTTTTAGATTGACACGGTTTTTTAGATCCTATTGGTTGAATTAATGTCAATCCACCACATGTCGAGGTAATTATTTTTCGTTTATTTGTACTATGTGATTTAAGCACATTTAAAATTACTTTTTTACGTTGATCATCACTTATCTGGTCCCATTCATGACGAATCTTTGTCACGTCATAGTTAAATAATAATTTCCCATACCAAGAAGGGCTCTTTCAAAATCTTTTTCTTGTGCTAAACTTAATTCATAAATTTTATTGACCATCATATGCACAGGTGTTGTAGAATCTCGGTTAAATTTTATTTTTAACACATTATTTAAAGATTCGCAGTTATTGTTTGTATAAAAATAAGATACCTTATTTTTTAAAGGTAAATATACATATAAAAATAAATTATTTTTTAAACTGGCATCTATATGTTTCAATAATTTAATAAACTGTTTATCTCTACAATAATCTCGCAGTTTTTCAACCTTTTCTCCAAAGATTTTATCACTTAATGAAAATACAAGTCCTTCTTTGCCAAAAATTTTAGTTACAATATTTTCCCTTGTCCTTGAATCCATTCCCTCTTTATCCTGTAAAAATAAGTTTAGAATCTTTTTCATATGATAGGTACATAATATATGTGTAGAATTACTAAAATTCTTTCTTAACGAAGTTATTAAGACTAGCTCCTCATCGCTGCCGAATATAAGATTTTCAACATTTATTTTAATTTTTTTTGAAGATTCCAAGTGCGAAAAGAAAATGTTAAAAGTTTCATAATCAGAGCTGCCATGCAAAAATATAGGACCAAAGAATATAGGATGATCCTGTGAATATTTAGACATGAGCACTTGATTCTTGAAAACTGTTGTCGTCACAAACAAGGGACCTAAATTATAAGTTTTATCAACACCTATAATACTAGGAAAATCTTGAGAACAAATATATTTGATATTATCTAACATTAAACCAGTATATAATATTAGTGAACTAACTCTGTCTGGGCTTATGTCCATTTTTTTTAATATTGGATATTTGTGAATATTTTTTAGTAATTCATTTATCTGGTCAGAAATTTTTTTTAAATAACAAGAATCATTTTTATGCAATTCGTTAAATTGTATATTACGAATTTGTTTGATATCTCTGGGAGTAAAATAATTTTCTTTATTGGCTATTAAATCTTGGTACACGTCTTTTGAAGGCTGATGCACTAACTTTTCCTTAATTTGTCGCATTATACATACTGGGGTACGACTATAAACCCGTGGAAACAACCCTGGATATGTTCCTATGTATTCAACTATAAATATAGATTCAATAAGATGAACTGAGCTGTTTAAATATTTATCTAAATGGCATATTCTTCTTTTATACGTTTCACAATTTTTCAATTTTGTATAATAACGATTTAAAATTACCAAATCCTCAAGATTTGGTTGTGATTTTGCTAAATATATGATTATATCATTTTGTCGTGGACTTGCCAAATAAGCCATCCTTATTAACCATAGGACCACTGCTAGTTGTATTATCATTGATATTTATACTATAGTAATTTTTTATTGTAACTATGGATGTACCAGTCCACGCTCCACAGTCATCGCTATTCACTAATTTTTTACCCTTTTCTTTCTGAATCATATTGTCTTTATTACTTATTGTAAATATAACATTGTTTTTGATACCCGTTGGTATTGATTAGTGTCTAGAAACTTGGCCAATGAAAAAATAGGTAAGCTGTTACTAACAATTGACGATAAATTAGTAATAGTTGGAGAATTATTGTTAACTGAAGATGGAAATATGAATGGTGAATCATTAAGGATAGCTGGCATCAAAACGGGTGATAAACAAGCGATACTAGATGGGGAATTGATTAGAGGTTGAAAGATATGTGGAGGATTATTGTCAACAGAAATTGGAGAATCGAATAGTAAATCATCATCAGATAAAATAGTTAGTAAATAGCTAATAATAGGCGGATATTCGATTGTAGGTGGAAAAATATGTTGGGAATTATTCTTAACTAATGGAAATATAAAAGGTGCTACATCAATTATAGGTGATGAATGACTAATAATTGGTGGAGGACTCGATGGTAATGATTGTAAGTAACAGAAATGATTTGGTTTAAAATTCGCCAATTTATCAGGGTAATTTAAACTCGACCACATATAAACTAAGTTAATTGAACTTGTTCTTCTTACGGCCCACCCATATACTGGTGTGGTATAGGCGCTATACATCCCACGATTAGAAAGTGGACAATAAGATTGAAATGCTTTTCGCAAAGCTGCACTTGGTGCATAAAGATGCATTATTTGTGCCCAGCCTCCTACCATCAATGCATCATTTAAAATATGATTGTAATCAGTAGTGGAAATTCTTTCATCACTTATTGTTTTATTACTACTGTAAAATATATCATCTATATCATAATACTTTCTATTAATTATTATTTCAATTGCTGTCATTAGTCTCATGTAGAGATGTTCCTCCTCATGACCAAAAATTGCTAGAGACAAGCAACGATAAAAACAATTGCCATCCCCAATAACTTTTCTAGGCGTCTTCTAAAAGATGCCCCTGAAATGATTTTAACAACCTTTGAGAAATAAGGTCTTCCTCCCCAACTAAAAAATTATCATTACATTTAGTTGATAAATTGTAATGTAATCTGATAAGACTCAATTCATTTACTGCTGAATTAACTGAAAAATTAATCTGTAATCTAAGCAATGAAGAGCATGGCTTCACATCTATCTTCTCCATCAGTGACTTTTTTAAATAAGATTAATAATTAAAATTAAATATATTTATTCTTTCTGGTCATTCAAAGATAAAGGTCAACAAAATTAGACTGTTAACACTTTATAATTATTTGTTTTATACTGCTCAATATTGATTTGTAATCAGAGTTGTGCAGTACCACAAATACTTGTATCTAAAATGCAAGATATAAGATCCTTTTGTATCTTGTACTTAGTACCTTTTGACATTTTTAAGAAGATAGTAGTATCTGTATCTAAGATCCTTTATTCTGAAAAAAATCTTGCATCTTTTTCATTTTAATTTTCTTGACAAAAGATACAGATACTTTTTAATATTCATATTTAAAATTTTACATATCACAGCATATATCTTATTTTCTTCAAGAATATTGTATTAATTTCCTTATTCTTTTCCACCATATTTTAAATATATTGACAACCAAAATTAACTGAAAAAAATTTACAACTTATATTAAGATAAATGGATATAAAATAACCCAAACGAAATTAGTAAAGATTATATTTTATATATAAATGCAGGGATCAAAACTGAGCCTGAACCGTTATTTTTAATTGAACCTGAACCTTTATTTTTATCCGAACCTATATTCTTTTCGGTTTGGATCCCTGTATAAATGTAACTCGACAGAATATCATTACCAATTTTATGTAATATATTTTAATTTGCAGGATGGTAGTGAAGAAGAAGGTTGTGAAATTTAAGTTATATAAATAAGTTCCCATGAATCAAACCCTAATCTTAAAATTTTAAATGGAAATTTTTTTAAAATAAAAGTTAAAAAGGCTGGATATAAAATCTGTATAAACATAAAAATGATAAAGGGCTAAACACAAATTTTGTTAAACATATTAGAAATATATTATTTATGTGTGGCTATAAGGAGCATAGGTTTTCTTAAAAATTCAAGCTTAAGATGGTATGGACAAAATTTAAGAAAATATTTTCCAATGATTTGAATATAATGAGGCTTTTTTTGACATCAATATCACATCAATATTTTAAGATATGAATTGAGTCAGATTATAAAAAAGAATACTTTCAAAATATATTAATAAAAGAAGCCCTAAATGTAGTATCATAGTATATAATCAAGCTCAAACAATAACACCAATAGATTTAATATCTAATAAAGAAAATAATGATTTTTTTTTTGGTAAAACAAGTGTTGCTGAGTTCAATTGTACAAATAACATTGAATTGGAGGGTTTAAATTATATTATGAGATAGTTGAAATACATTATAAATGCTTAATTGTTATCTATCCAGTAAGGAAGATTTTTTATAAATATAATACTGCAATAAGTTCATCAGCTTCAATTGAAAGGTTATTTAGTTTTGGTACAATGCTATGTATGTCAAAATGGCAAAGGTCTAATACTAAATTATTTGAAAATTTTGATTATCTTATAATAAATCTATTTTAAATACTCTTTTGCAAATTAATATTTCAACTCCCATTAAAATACTAGTCTCCTTTCCCTATCTATGCTAAGAATGGGCTATTACTAAAATGCCTGATATATTAACTCATCATTAAATATTTTTTAATTATTGTAAATATTCATTCTTATTAAATGAATATGTTATGTTCTTCACAAATAAATAATAAAAACTGTATTTTATAAACTATTCTAATTTAATTGGTAATGATAATTTAAAAGTATATTGTATATAAGAAACTCTAATCAAGCAAAAGATACAAGTATCTTTTTGATATTTTGAAAAAGATACTAGTATCTGTATCTAAGTGAAGAAAAGTAAAAATATTATTTTTTAATCTACTTTATTCCTCTTTTTCATATCATTTATATAACATTTATACAAACTAAAATTAGAATATATATATTTTAAAAAAAGTTAACTTTAAAATAAAACTAAAACTCAAATAAAAATCAATTTGGATAATACACGTTAAAAAATACAATTCATATTATTCAATATTCTCCTTTATCTAAAAGAAGCCTTCTCATATTTCTTCTTGCTGTCATAGGGAGTTTGTTGTACAAATGGTATATCGTTTTAGTCATCAAGTTGTTTCATAAGTCATCGTAATCGTTGGCTTGTCCCAATCACTGGTTTGTTTAAATCGATTTTGCACGTTGGTTTGTTTAAATCGTAAGCTTGATATCCTTATCGTAAGTTATCCTTATAAATGGTAAATTTGTCATGTAGCTTGCTTGTAATGCTCAGTTGTTATTATTATCAGTAAGTTACGAATATAATTCATCAAGTTGGATATAAGAATAAGTGAAGAATGATAATAAGATTGTTATATAATATTTTTAGCGTTTTCATTTTTTGCGTTTTAGTGTAAGCGTTTTAATATTTAATTTACTTTATGCCTTTTAATTTAATTTATTTTATGCGTTTTAATATTTAATTTTTTATATTTTAAGTTCAGGCGCGTACGCAGGAATTTGGTCTGGGGGGGGGGGGGGGGGGGGGGGGATAATAAATTTTTTTAAGAAGTATTATTGTTATTTAAAAATATCAAGCATAAATTTATTAGGACTAATAACTCTTTCTAATACACAATTTTAAATTATATGAATTATAAAAAAATTATATATATAAACCGGCACATAAAAAAAATAAATGTGAATTAAAAATATAAAGTGAAGTTTAGCTATTAGATCATTGATTCGTGGTAGTGGGTATCTGAAATCTTCTAGAGCTGGGTTTAAGGTGTCCTTAAAATCAGCACAAAGCCTAATGCTCCCATTATCTTTGTAGAAGGCGGTAATAGGACTTGCCCATCGAACATCATTCACCGGCTCAATAATTTTATCATGTATCCATTTTTTAAGTTCATTGCTCACAAGATCAATTTTTGAATAAGGAATACGTCTAGGTGGTATAATTTTAGGTTGGGCATCTCTTTTTAAATGTAACTTGACACTTGCTTTGTTGATTGGCCCGTTAGCCAATTTGGATTCGCACCCTTTAATAATTTTTTTATTTAATCTTTATAATTTGTGTCAATATTTGCTATAAATTTATTTAAAATATTTTTGAAAATATTGATCCATGTACGTCCCAACAAGGCATTTTTCCTAGACTCAATGTCTACCGCTTGTAGATATTTTGAGATACCTTCATAAGTCACTTTAACTTGTGTAATACCGATGATCTTATTTAAATTTCCGCCATATGCGGTAAGTTGTAACTCGGATTTTTTAACATCTCTAATACCAAGTTTTTCAGCTAAACCATGAGGTATGATTGTATGTTTGGATCCTGTGTCAACTTGCATAGTTGTAATAATATCGTTCACTTTTAAAGTAGTCATAAATGCCTTATCTTTATTATTAAGCATGTCCCCAGATAAGTTGTTTATATTAAAATCGTTATCATATTTGTTCTTTGTAGAGTCGACTTTCTCTTCAATATTCATATTATGATCATTGTTGTTATATTGTATTTGCTTTCTCTAACTGTTGTCGCTACCTCTATAATTATTTGAATTGTTGTTATAGGATTGGTAATTATTACGATTTTTTTTACTATATTGGATCTGTTTTCTTTGGTTATTACCATAATTAGATTGATTATTATTGTTGTAGCGATAGTTGTTGTAGTTATAGTTATTATAATTATCGTGGTATCTCGAATTATTATTACCGTGATTCCTATCATAATATCTAAAATTATTATTATTGTCGTAATTCCTATTCCTATTTCTATTCCTATTATAATTATTATCTCTATTATCATAATTATTTCTAAAATTATTATCAGGTCTAAAATAATTATTATTGTCATTTCTATTATTAAAGTTTTTATCTTTATCAGACTTTTTATCGTGATTCATATAACTTATATTATCAATATCTGGTTTATCATTAATACTATCTAATCTACTTCCTATCTCCATCATTTTGTTTAAGGTTAAATTAGTATTTTTACTAAATTTATATTTTATTTTATCATTTAAGGTAGACGTTCTTAGTTTTTCTTTTATTCTGTTATCATCTACAAAATCACATTTTTTTATATAATTTTGATACTCTAATGTACCATTGCATAAAGTTCTCACTAGAATTCTGATATGATAAGTTGAATTTGTTGATTAAAATATTTTTATCCTGTATTGGTAAAAGGTATCCCAATTTCTTAATCACTATCTTAAGATCTAAAATCTCAGTATCTGAACAAATTGATTTAATATTATCAAACACATCATCAGATAAGTTATTAAGTAAAGTATTTATTTTAACGGAGTCCGGTAATGTGCTAGTCGAAAAGTAACTTAACACCCTATCTAAGTAAATCTCAGTGAGTGGTCCAATAAGTTTTGGGTACTTATAAGGTGTAAAATCAGGTAATTTTATGTCCATTTATTAATAATTTTTAAAAAATATCACATAAAAATAAAAATGACGACGTTTATATTTTTGTAAATATGCATTGGAGTTGTATAAACTCTGATTCATTGTAAGCAAAAAATTTTCCTTCCAATACCTCAAAGCAACGTAACATCTCTTTTAAACTAAAGAATTCAAAGGAGACATCTCCACTGACAGGTCCTCAATTATATTGGACATCACAATTATAAGTGAATTCCCAAAGTATATCATAGACCTAGACCTCGTGTGGTATGTTTATTAATTTAAAATAAAACATTGAAAATTATTTACCTTTCGAAAATTATCCACCTTTATATAGAATTGTGTGGGAAAAAAATTTTTTTTTTATTATTTATTTAATGTTTTTGCATGTTAAAGTGTTAAAACTCACCATTTAAAAAAAATGGAAGAGAAAAATTTCAAAAAAAAATATAACGCATAATGGCGAGTTTTTTTTGCCATCCTCAACCGGGATACCATGAAGAAAAGTAAAAATATTATTTTTTTAATCTACTTTATTTCTCTTTTTCATATCATTTATATAACATTTTTACAAATTAAAATTAGAATATATATACAAAAAAAAGTCAACTTTTAAATAAAAGTAAAACTAAAATAAAAATACATTTTGAATATACACGTTAAAAAATACAATTCATAATATTCAACACTAAGATTAATTTTTTCACATCTGTATCTAGATTCTTATTCCTGAGGACCTACCCATGTAATATAAATATTTTCTTACGTGATTATCCATTTCTGATTGAATATATTAAGTGTATTAGATATGACGATTAGAAAAAAATCTATAAAAATTAATATAATTTTGTTGAAAAGGATATAGCTTACTTGTTGTAATTGTATCTAATAAAATGAGGTAAAAAAAAGGTAAATGAATGAATGCCATCATGTGAAATATTTATATAAATATGATTCTAATTATAAAAATATAAATTATAATACTTAGATAAATCAAGATAAATAATATTTAAATTTTTTTTATTTAAATAGTAACTTGGTATTATTGAATATCATTTGACACAAAATATTATTTTATATCGTAATATTAACAATATACTTTACCAGCATGACTTTGTTTTAAATATTATACATAGCCCTCCACCATGCGTATTATGATAATTCAGCTTATTAAAATGAATCTTTAATGTTTTAAGAGTAAATTCTGATATATTTAAAATTTAATTATAAATATTTTAAATATAATTATATTAAAAGATTTAAACGATTTATTATGAGATAAAAGAAAATTCAACTATTAATGTATTATTATTATTATTGAATATATCTAATAATTTAATTTTTTATAAGTTATTTATATCATAGGAAAATGAATCTCACAACAAATAATAGATAATATAAAAAATTTTACCTTTACCTTGGCATTTGTAGTTTACCTTAGTATTTGCAGTTTAGTCAAACCGTATATTGGGTATAAATAAGTTAGTATCCACTTCTAACTCAAAAATTTTTAAAATGTCGAGTGGAGCACTCCAATTCTAGACCGATGACGTTTGTTTCTATAGTCAATATAATTTCTTCATCTTTTTTTCTGGAAAAAATAATTTTTACAAAATTTATTAATTCGTTGGAATGATCGAATAATAACATTATTATTTGTACAAATACGAATAATGAATTTAATATTACAAAATTACCAATATTGATAGTCAGAGTCCAGAAAGAAATAAATGACACGACTAAAAAAATAAAGAAAGTAAGCAAAAAATATAGTGATAAGAAAAAATATTGTAACAAAAATTGCAAAAAATAAAGTATTATAATAATTACTATGATAATAACCAGGCCATTTCCTTGGTTGAAATCTCTTAAAGGAACAAATACCTGGCTTATAAAATATCCTTTTAATCCTAATAGCCGTAACAACCTTGGGAGTTTATGATGTTGAGGCTTCTCACTCATAAAAATATAGGGGAAAAATGTATATATACCAAGATGTATAAGAAATTTTTAAAAATATTAATTTTGAGTATTTTGGCACCATATTTTTAACGGTCAATAGCTAGTAAACGGTAATGGTACAAATCGAGTTTGAAAGGGTGCAAATCAGTCTAACTGATAAACCATTGGAAATCCAAAAGAATTGCTATAACGGGGGGCTAACTTAACGCTATAATATAAGTTTAAAATTTGATTTCCGAAATAAATAATCGAGATAAAAATTAATTTGAACTATCATTAGGAAGAGAAAATGATTCACTATCGTGTAAGTTAAGAAATTTAAAAAACAAAAAAATTTGAGTGTTTTTTAATTTTGGCGCTAAAACCTTTACCCAACACAAATCTCTGTCTTTCAATCTGGAAAACTGTAATGGTACAAATTAAACTGAAAACGGTATAAATCATTCTCTATCGACCTATTCACTTTTTATTTTAAATTCAAAAGTTGGAGGGCTATCGTGAAGTTGGTTCCTTCTTTAAATATCTCAAAAACGGTGATGGTACAAATCGAACTGAAAGCGGTACAAATCAGTCCAACTGATAAACCATGGAAAATCCAAAAGTGAGGGGCCAACTTCACGGACCTTGAAATTAGAATAATTTCTTTAAAAATATACATTCGAATTTAGGGTTTTACCTTCATTCTCATTTATTTAGATTTTTGATCAATTCGAGACCCCAAAATGGAAAAAAAAAACTATTTATCATTTATATATTCTATTTATATAAAATAATAAATAATGTAAATCAATTATAAATTAAATCATTTTAAGGATATCGAATTCCATCTTTAATGAATTTTGTATTGTGAGAAAAAATTTGAAAAATTATATGTAAAATATAAATAACTGTTCAAAATACGCGTAATAGTAGCATTAACTTCGATTCTATTAATTGGTTAAGGATAATTTGATCGGTATTGAGTTTTGAGAATCCCAATTTTTTATGATCGGATTCAATTGTGGCGAATAGGGTGGTAGAAATATGATATTTTCACTTAATATTCACGCTTGGTGAATAGGAGCATTATCCAATATGAATTAAGTAGTAAAACTGTGGATATATGGCCGTGAAAGCCCCATCTAATTGTAAATTTTTTCAGTCCACTTATTCCTGTTGTGCATAGTACTAATATATTTTTTCCCTTGGAAGAAGGTAGTTTAAGGGCGCCCTTTTATAATGCGAAATAATATGGGTATTAAACCCTTTCCCGTCCAGAAAGAATAGACTTCTTTATTCCCTTCGAATGTGAATTACATCTGCAGCTTTCCTCAAGCGGGTTCTTTACCAACCTTTTTCCGACTATATCCTATTGATTTGATATATTTCAATATAGCAGAATCGCTCACTTTTAGATGCGATAAGTGTTTAAGTATATTTTTTATGGTATAGTCGTTATTATTACCAAACAATTCATTATTATTAGATTAAAGTTTTAATTATATAATTAGATAAAGGGTCATCGTAATATTAATGAAGTTTTACATTTGAAATGATTAACTGAACCAATAGATAAATGTAAATCATGGGAAATTATCTTTACGTTGGACTGACCATAAAATAGTCTGATCAGCCATATTTTAGATTTCAATTTTTTTTTCGTTCCAATTACCATTTTTTTCACAAACGAATAATAAGATCAAAATTTGATGGGTCTAATAAAGGTCACTCGTCAAAATTTGAATAATTATCACATAGGTTTGTAATGTCAGCTAAGCATCTAAGAGAATTCGATGGGATAGGTGAATATCAGATTAACAAAAGATAACTTTTTACAATAATTACGAAAGGTAGAATAATTACATAAAAATGTTTTATGAAAATATGCTACAAAAAATCATATTATTACTGTATATCTAAACTGTTATATTTACTTTCCACAATTTTTTTTAATATAATTCGTAGAGTATCTTAGTTTTTTTTGCCTATACAAAATATGTTTTTTTTCCTGTTGTGTTCTTAAATTTGTAAAAATAAAATTTTGTGTTGTCTTTTTATCGTCCAGTGTGTATAAATATGGAATATACAAATAGAATATTTTTTTTATTACCAATATGGCATCTCAATATAAGTTATCTCGTGATGTAATAATACGATCACTTGAAATGGATTATTTTGTTTTATGTTTGATTTACGATTTCCTTCAGATATATAGCCAAAAAACGAAATTAAGGAAAATTATTTTATTTATTATTTCAACGATGAATTATTTTACTTACCGAAAATTGTAAATTGAATGATAAATTTAGTATTGGAATTAAATAAAAACAAAATCCACTATCTTAACACTATCTTATAAATCCGCACTTTACTGTGGTGCGGTCTCTACCATCCCCTAAAATAAATTAAAAGAAAGTCGCCTTGTACTGCGGTGCGGAGAACTCCGTTCTTTATCTCATATTATAAATGGAAAACTGCCGTCTCGGTTATAATATTGGATATACTTGTATAATAAAGGTAACCGAATTTAAAGACGTGATTAATGACTAAGATTTAGACAAAACCAGGTCACCGTACCGATATCAAAATTCCTGGATTATATACAGTA